AGGTGCTATGGCCACTCTATGTCTGATAGTGTGATGAGGTAGGCCTTGTAGATGTTGGTGTGGGATTTGTGAATGAGTGTGTAAAGTGAGTATTTGTGAATAAGTGTGTAAAGATTTGTGAATGACTTGTGTTATTATAGCCATCGTGCATGATCCCTGTCATAGGGAGGGAAGACATGTGTAGGTCCCATGTCTACAGAAAAACAATTATCCTGCTGAGGGACAGGTTGGTCAGCCTTTTTTTTGTCATTAGTATGTATGTTTTGTAGGAATTTAGGGTTTTTACCTGAAGAGCATTTTATGAATTTTCAGGGTTTTATCTGTAAGTTATGTCTATAGGGCATAGTGATGATGGGGCAATTGTAAGAGGCCCCACAATTTTAGTCTGAGGTTTGTGTTGGAATAGAGATTGGTTTAGTTTTATTAGAGATGTCATGTAGAGATTTTGTTGATAGGGTAGACATAGCTAGCAGCTAGTATCTAGATATTTAAAGCATATAAAAGTTGAAAAGTGTTGTTTAAAAATTGAAGTATGGGAGGGGTTGTGAGATGCGCGTCTCCTAAGAGTGGGGAAGGTGTTAAGGGTTGAGATGTGAGGACCCATGTATTGGGGAGCAATTGTTTGTGAAGAGTTATAATTATAGATTTAGGGGCAGATGCGACATATGGACAAAAACCTCATGTTTGACTATGAGGAAGTAGTGGAAATGTTTTTATATTCTTTTGTGTGAGTATGTAAGAATTCTGTCCAGGATACACATGTGGTAATTATGTTTATGTAGATGTAATCATCATGGCAGAAGTAAAATTGAGAAGTATAGGTTGCATACATAGGTTGTCTATAATGGGAACCTTTAATAACGAGCACACTCCAAGGGAAATTGAATATTAGAGGTCCTGACATCTAATTGGCTTGAGCAATGGTTGTGTGGGAAAGACCCGCTGCTCCCCCATGTTTAGTCAGGTAGAATTGTTATTTTGGGGTATCTGAGTATTATAGGGTTAGGTGAAGGAATAGATTGAGATAGAGGAGGAAGCCTATCCTGTTAACTAAGGTAACTGAGAAATGTAAACCATAAGATTATTAATATGAAGCGTGTGATAACTGTAAGCCTTTGGATAATGGTCTATTTTGGGGAATACAGTGTTAGAGCACCTGCGAGGAAGAAGAGAATTATAGAGTCAATAGGCCAAAACCAGGTAGGGTAGCAAAGCATTAGCATTTATGTTGTGTTAATCTGAGATGGGTGAGAGCTATTGGATGTGAGGTCTATAAAGTCCCTTTAATGTGTTCAGGATCAAGATTACTGGGCAGCAGATGATATCTCTACATCAGGGTGATGTGAAAACAGCCTGCGAATCTCTTTACGTTGACCGCATTTGGAGTACCAAGGTACACCTCGTAAGGTCCACTTTAGGTTGACAAGTTTAAGATGAACCTAGGGGCTTAGGAATTTTAATATAATTAAGTCTTCTGGAGATAAAGGAGGATGTGGTGTGTGTCCCTCAGAGGGCTGAGGGAGGCAAAGATCTGCATATTGTTGAAGAAGATGTCAGAGAAATGAGAGAACTGAAAGGTAGTCAAATAAGGGAAGAACCTTAGAAGGTGAAGGCAAATTTTGTAAGACAAATGGTCTATCATACATAAGCGGCTTAACTGAGTAGATGATCTGGGGAGTGCTCAGAGCTTTGTAGGTGCTAGATGTAGGAGTAGAGAGAGGAGAATCATATGTATGTGGTAAGGAAGTGTGAGTTAATTGGAGAACATTAGTCCTGTAGACGACTTATCTCTGTGTCTGTTGTAGGAGTGGGAAATAGGGTGGTTGGATTGGGGGTGTTGCTGGTTGAGATTGTGACAATGGGGTCTTGTATTAAGTTAGATGTACTTGTTGTAGCTGTGAGGGATTCATTAAACCTGGGAGTGTCCTGTGAGAAATTAGATTGACTAGATTGTGTGGTGAGTAGGCTGTGATTGTCTGTCCTAAAGTGAGCTTTTTAGCTTTTTGTGTCAGAATGGCTGTTACTGCTATTGCCGAAGGGAGGAAGGCCATTCTCTAACTGTAGTGTCTAGCTGTTTTGGGAGGTAGGTGATGGCCTGGACTGAAGGTCCTTTACTGTGTCCCAATGCTCTAATCACATTATCTTTATCTATTGTAGTGTATAGACTAAAGGCAATAGTAAGATTAGGAAGTGTAAGTGCAGGGGCTCTAAGGAAGGCTTCCTTAAGCTTCATTAGGGGAGTGTCAGTTGGCATAGTGGATGTAAGGGAATAGCAAAAAATTTATTATTGAGTGTAATTCAGGAAAGTGAGAGGTACGTGGAAGAATATGATACAGTGCAGTATGAGAGTTTGGCACCACCAGGTGAATTGGCATTATTATACTGATATTAGCTCTGGGATCTTGGGTTAGGTAATAGGAGCTATTGGATTTGAGGATAGGGAGAATAGGGCTATCATAAGATGAGTGACTTTTAAAAACCCATTTGTCAACAAGGGCCAGATAATAGGTTTGAGTCCCTGTTGATGTTTGGGGCTAATGGGTATTGGGGAACAGAAGGGAAGACTGAGGCATGTTTCAGGTAAATTAGAAGAGTAATGGTGGTCTCAGAGGTGTCTCAGACTGCAGGGTCGATGAGGCAGGAGGAAACGGGAGGGACTGTGTCACTGGTGTATGATGGTTGTGATTGGAGTGTGAGAGCCATGGGGAGAGGGAGAAAGTATAAGAGAAATTGAGTTTTTGGAGCAGAATTTTTATCAAAATGTGGTACAGGACAGGTTGGAATAATAAGACAGCTATGTGTAAAGAAAGGATTTGGAATCTGCAGGGAGTAGGTTTTTATCTTCAGAGGTCATGTACCTTGGCTGTCAGCTCCCACAACAGAGACTGCAGACCAGGAACATCAGCCTTAAAATTCAGGAAAAACACTATGGGTGGCTTACATGTCCACAAGGAAAGAGAAGGTTTTACCCGAGATGTCCGGTGATACCCAGGGCTCTGAGAGGGACACCTCGGTGAGGCCAGAGGTCCCAAGCTCCATCAGTCCTCTTCAGCGGCAATGCTGAGCAGAACAGCTGGTGATGAGTCCCAGGTGGGCACATCTTATCTTGTGAGGGTGGGGAAGGTTATGATTTACCTGCTCTCGGGTGGACAGGCAATTCCAGTTGGTTGTAGATGGGACCAGTTCCCAGTCGTGGCTGCAGGTCAGGGCACGCTCCTGTCCTGTGTTGTTTTTCTGCTGCACTTGCAGCATGATGTGGGGGAGGGCTTGAGTTTTTAGATTGCTTTTCTCCAGGCTCTGTTTTATCTCGAGCCCCAGGTGTACTCCTTGTAGCTGCTGCAGCTCCTGTGGCCATAAACTGGCCTCAGAATTTGGTCTGGAATGCAACCTTTTTTATGGTCATCTGGAATATAACCTTTTTAAGGTCATCTTATTTTTGTTATTTTGTCTATAACTGAAGACATGGAAAGCCATAAGTAAGAGGTCTCCCTGGGGGGATTGAAGACTAAGGTCTGATGTTTTGAATTTAATCTCAATGTTTAGTGCTGCTTGAGAAATAAAATGGGAATTTAGAACGACTGGGGAATCAAGCGAGATGGGCAGGTGGAGAGAGAGGAGACTGTAGAGTTGGGTAAACAGAGGAGGAGCGCACAGTAGAGCAGTTCTCTGAGAGTAACTTTGACATAAGGAGGAGGAAGAAGAAGGAGGGGCAGAGTGAAGAAGAAGAGTGGGCCTCCAAGTGAGTTACACTGATCTGATGTGGGGTGGAAGTATTTAATATATTGGGTCTGAGAAACAAGAAAGGACAGCATCACGGTGGGTGAGCTAATAAAGGAGGAGGACCTGTGACATGAGCCAAAAGAATTTGGGAGGCCTTGCAGGTTTGGAGTAGGTGAGGACCTGCTGGCAGCTGGACATAAGCCATTTCAGTAGTCAAAGTTATATAAATCTCTTAATGTTAGCCTCTCGAACCTGAGAGATTGTTTCAGCCCAAGTGTATCTAAGTGCAGCCCAGAGGAGTGGTTTTGTTGGGTAATGATTGTTACCCATGTTTTCAAATTAGAAAAGAGAGCAGGGGTTGGAAGTGGGAGTCAACGGAGAATCGTCACCCACCAGTGAGGCACAACCAGTAGTCAGTCCCTTAAGGGAGTAGAGTAGCCCCACAATGAATTTTCCACTCACCACCGGGGAAGACAAAAGGGAAATCCCAAAGGACATAGAAATCTCAGAAGAGTAGAGTAGAATGAGGGATGTCCTGATGTGGCCACCATTTAGGACAGGCACCCTCGAAGTACAGTAGAGGGGAGGCTCACCTTGGACGTGATGAGATTGAAGCCAGTGTTGACTAGAAACGGCAGGGTGAAGTCCCTAGTCCCAGAAAAAGAGAGAGAGAGACAAGGAGGAACAAAGATCTGTAGGCTGGAGGAGTGGGGCTCAGACCAGGACACAGACTCCCCAGAAGCGACACAGCCTCCAACCACTGGATTAATGGGACCAACTGATTGAGTGGAGAGTTTGTACTCAATCTAGAGCAGAGCAGAATATTAAAAGGAAGGAAACAAGAAGATAAGAAAGTTTAATGAGGTGGGTTATGGAGGGAGTCACCACAAAGAAAGCTGTAGTAGCTCTCTGCAAACAAAGGCCAGGTTCTGCCTGATATAGGCTCTGATGGGGGAAGGCTTCTGGGGACTGATGTGGAGCTGATGTATTTTGTGAGAGTACAGGGAATTGGGTGAACATTTACATGCCTAAGCTTTGGCACAGACTTTTGGGAGGGAGAAGCCATAGGGGCTTCTAGGAAGAAGGAGGTAGGCATTATCAAGGCACAGTTTTGAATTGTCACCATGATGGTTGTGTTGTCTCTCAAGACAACAGATGGGAGATCTAACACTTTGAGGATCATTTCTTGGCTACAATGCAGAACCCTCAACCTACTGGCTTAGATCCTTCATCCTGCTGGCACAGAGTTTCTGACTTCCACCACTAACCTTCGTGTTGGGAGCCGCAGCCCCGAGCCCGGTCGCCTCACTTGGCGGACGTGAGGCCTGTAGTAAAGAGTAAAGCCTGAGGTAGATTACCCCTCCCATCGAGCACGTTAGTTTCCTGCTTACCGCGTAAGCAACCCGCTCAACAATATAGTCTGCCTGGCAACTGATGATGTTAGCCAATCAGCTTGCCTTGCTTACTTTAACATGATTGGACACTGTATCCGTATATATACTGGTGCCACCCCTGGGGGGGAAGAAGAAGCCCGGAAGTAGAAGCCCAGAAGGAGCCGCGGGGAGCGGACCAAAGGAGGCTTCGGCTGGGAGCGATCCCAGGGCAGGCTGTACGGAGAAGGAAAATAAAAGAAAAGGTTGTCCACTGCCAGACTTTGTCGTGTGTCCTTCCTGCCGGCCAGGAGCGACATCGACATTTGGAGGCCCGTACGGGGACTGATCACCCCCGAGACGTGACAGCGGACAACGCTCCAGTACAGAGCTGCGAGACAGGTGAGTTGGGGATAAGCCTGGGCTCTGGGTGGCACGCACCTACAGGGCTTTTAGACTCCCCTCAGGCTCACGCGTAAGTGGCGGATTCCTTGGGCCTCACGCGGTGAGTAACATATTAAAAGATGGGAAACATGCTAGGTAGCAACACTAAGAGCGAGGGTGGTTGTGGAGAAAGCTCTCAAGAGCTTACAAAAGTACGCAGGGTATTTGAGCAGGCCCAGTCAGGGAGCTCCCGAGAGGGGCCCGTTAAGGGGAACAAAGATGCTAAGGAGAAGGACGGGGCTCTAGCCTCGGAGTCGTCTGACTCCGAGGACGAGGGAAAGTTGAATGGCAAGGAGGCCAAAGAGACCAGCTGTCAGGAGCCTAAGTCACTCGATAAGGAGTCGCAGGGTTCTTTCCCAGCGTTGCGCCGTGAATTGCGCTCCGCTCAACTTGGTCTGCGGAGGAGTAGAGAGCTCCTGAGCGCTCCCCGGCGCGAGAGGGAGGCGAAGCCTTCCGCCCCACCTTGGGGGCTGTTCCCGGAGGCGAATCCTCGCCGCGAGGCGGCCGCCCGGGAGCTCCCTTCCCCTTCGCCAGAACAGGAAGTGATGCACGGGCCCCCATTTTCCGCCCAATCATGGCCGCCGTCTTATGCTCCGCCGCCGGCGGGTCGGTATTTTTACAGGCGGCTTTGGCAGGGGGGACGTTTGTCTCATGAGGTACATCCACCACCTGGGATAGATAGTGGCCCCTACGGGATATTTCCTGTACAAGTAGCTATGGGCCAGGGACGTAATGCATGGGAGCCTTTTGAGATAAAGCAGATTAGAGAACTTAAAAATGCAGTTACAACCTTTGGGCCGACTGCGCCTTACACCATTGCCATGCTGGAGAACCTGTCTTCTGGGCCCCTCACCCCCGCAGACTGGATTCAGCTGGCAAAGGCGTGTCTGCCCTCGGGTAGTTACCTGGATTGGCGAGCCTGGTACACAGAGTTCTCTGCCGAGCAGGCTGAGAAAAACGCCGGTCGAGGAAATGGGGGCTGGGGATTTAGCTTAGCGGCATAAGCGCCTGCCTTGTAAGCAGGCAATCGCCAGTTCGATCCCTGGTACCAATAAAAAAAAAAAAAATAAAAAAAAATAAAAAGATAAAAATAAAAAATAAAAAACAAAAAGGGGGAGTAAGCCAAGGCCTGCCTCCAAAGGCGCGGTTATCTATGGCATGACAATGGATGGGCCCGGATCCGGTAATCAGCTGGAACCGAGGCGCGGTTTGTGTTTTTCTGCAGGAATCGGGACGAGAACCACTGTGGGTACCAGAGAGACTGACACGGGCGACAAAGCCCTCGACTGAAGATCAGACCTGCCCTACCGGAGATCCATCACAGACCAACCAACAAGATGAATAGAAATAGCGGTAGCCCGAAATGGACAAGAAGATCCTCAGGCATATGCATGGCTCGCTCGCCTAGCCTACGACCGAGTCTAGGGGTGGTGAGCTTCCCACACTCCTCCTCTAAAAAATTATGACATAGCTGGGTAGGAGAGTCAATGACGGGTAAGAGCGTATTCCCCCGGTGCGACTCAACCTAAGCCAGGCCCTACCCCATCCTGCACGTAAGCCGCTGGACTGTTAGATGCTGCCCAGGTCTAAATTTCTCTCCGAGGGGATTTCTTTACGGAGAGGAAATGAGTGCAAGCTTGTGTGCATCCAGGTTCCGTCCAGTTTGTGCCTGGCCCTAGAAAAAGGACGAGGGCCTCAGGGCCTTGGCAGACCATGGGACGGCCGACCAGGGTCTAAGCCAAGGACCTACGGTGGGCCTACGCATAGGGCATAAGCCTCTGCACCCAGTCCAGGAAGGGCTACGATGCGCACATTTATAAAAAAAATAAAAAAGGGGGAGATGTTGGGAGCCGCAGCCCCGAGCCCGGTCGCCTCACTTGGTGGACGTGAGGCCTGTAGTAAAGAGTAAAGCCTGAGGTAGATTACCCCTCCCATCGAGCACGTTAGTTTCCTGCTTACCGCGTAAGCAACCCGCTCAACAATATAGTCTGCCTGGCAACTGATGATGTTAGCCAATCAGCTTGCCTTGCTTACTTTAACATGATTGGACACTGTATCCGTATATATACTGGTGCCACCCCTGGGGGGGAAGAAGAAGCCCGGAAGTAGAAGCCCAGAAGGAGCCGCGGGGAGCGGACCAAAGGAGGCTTCGGCTGGGAGCGATCCCAGGGCAGGCTGTACGGAGAAGGAAAATAAAAGAAAAGGTTGTCCACTGCCAGACTTTGTCGTGTGTCCTTCCTGCCGGCCAGGAGCGACATCGACACCTTCGGGCCTTCCCAGTGTGGATTCCTGACATAGACTTGCATGAGTCATTGTCCTGGGCTCTAGCCTCCAATTGAACCCATGGGAAGCATTATCACAGGCTCTTTATGTCCAGCTGAATTCATGTGAAGCATTGTCTTGGGCTCTCAATCTTCAGGTGGACTCGTGCAGAACATTGCCATGGGATCCAGGCACTTGATGGGATTTTCTAGGCTTTTGTTGTGTGGAAAACTTTCCTGCACTTCTTGTATTTGACTCTGATAGACTATCATAAAATAATACCATAAATTATGTGTCCTGTATTGTCTGGTTCTCCTTAAAATCCCTTACTGCAACAGTTGAATACATATAATTTCCAACATTTTCATTGCATCTCATCTATTGTATAGAAATTTTAATTTTTTCATGTATAAATAAATACTTCTGTACTACAAATATCTTCCTAAAATGCATTTGAACTGTGAAGTTACATGACATAACTTGCACAAACTAAAATGTGATGTTTGAGAATCTTTTCCACTGATAATAAAGCATAACTAAAACAATATCCAAGACATTAGAAATCACCATCTGTATTTAATCTACTAAAAGGCACTTCACAGAGATTTTTGGGCCAAGTAGTTATCAAATTAAATGTTCTGAAACTCCTAGAGTTATTTTTCAGATCAATTATTGCCATGTAGCCCAGATCTTAATAATACTGGAAAAAATAGTGAGAAACTATTGAGTGGTGGAATTATAATTAAATAATAATATAAAATTTAAAACCATATTTGTATTAATATTTATTTTTTATCATTATTATATATATTTCACCATTTTCATCTGTTTGCATCAAATCATAGTGAATGCAATTTCACTCCTCTACAAGAAATCTTATTAAGTAAAACCAGATATAATTTCATGCTGTCTCAAAATACACTTATATGTGCATTGATAGTTTGGAGTTTCTGATGGAAATTTATTTTAAACAGGTTGCAATAATCCAATTTCTTTTTGACAAGTTACTGCTAAATGTCACTCAAAGGTATTTCAAAATATTTTTTCAACTTCAGGAATAACATTTTAAAGTAAAATCAGAATAGTATATAGCATTTATGCCAAAGCCATCCATTCTAAATTTGAGAAAACTGTTATACAGAGTGGATAAGTAACATTCTTAGCCAAACAGCTAATGGAGATATAAAATTGAAAAAAAATACTTTTATGATGTGGTTAAATTTTAGTATTATTTTTAAAAATTACTTTCTACAAGGATGGTATATAAACTAGTTTTTGATGTGAAGCATAGTTTTAAATATGAAGTTTTATAAACCGTTAAAGTATTTTGATTTAGAGATCTGTATCTCTAGTCCAAGTAGTTTCTGAATAGATTTTGTGTATTGAGCAATCCATAACGAAGGAAACCATAGTTTCCAGGAGAGGATCCAATGAATAATAATATTAAATTTTTCCCTTTGCTCATAACAGAAGACTGAGTTTATTACCAATAGAAGGAATTAAAGGGTAAAATTAAAGGATGAACAATCATATATTTTTTGTGAAAAGAATTTTTTAGAGAATACCTTGTACAACGTTGCTAAAATTTTTATAGCATTTCAACTTTAAGACAAAATACTTTTAAGCATAGGATGGAGAAAGCATTTGAAAATTTAGATATGTTTAATAGCAACCATTTGAACAAGATTATAATAATCAGTAAATCCTTGGAATTTAAAGAGGAAAAGTAGATTAGGTTCACTGATAATATCTTAAATGTGTTTATCAATATTTGTATGATAAAGAAAAGAATAAAATGAAAGTTTTGTGCTAACAATTGCCCATTTCAAATTGAGAATTCTTTATAGTTCTTAGAATTTTATACATTATGCAAATAATAATGAATAAGAAATAGCTTTGCCCTTAACTATTTCCAAAGTTATAGAAAAATGCATATTTTCAAAACAATATATTACTCTAAAAGTTTTTATTACTAGTTGTTTGTAGTATACAATGTTTAATTCCATCTTAGGTAGTAGGTACTTAAATGGACTTAACATGTCTTACATTGTTTCATTACATCGTCTTTCTTCCTTCCCTTTCTTCCTCTCTGGAGCTCCTTCTCCCATTTATTTTTCTTAGTCTTTTCTTTGTTTAAACTTCATGTTTGCCACATATATTGATTGCATTCATTGTGAGTCATTGGCCGTATGCAAGACACATCTTAATTCTTTTTATGTCCCCTCCACTCCCTCCTTCACCCTGCCTTCCATCATTTTATCCCTTTCCTATCTACAAAGGATTAATGACCTGTTTCCATCTATCTGTTTCTTATTTTGCTCTTTTCAGAGAATGAAAAAAAATAGTCAAGCTATAATCATCACATACAGAATCATTGAAAGACGATGCTTTGTACAAGTTTGAACTTTCTTTGTACAGATTTAGTGGAATTCTACCAACAGGTAGGCTATAAAGGACATTTTTAGATGTTTGCTTGCCTGGAAGTTTAGAAATCTCCCTGTATTGTCTATGATGATGAACTGATCCCCTTTACCTGGAATCACTGTCACTTTGTGTCTTGGAGTGTCTAATATTAGGTACTCAGTTTTTGTTGTTGTTATTGTTATTTTTGTCTTTTTGAGACAGGGTCTCTCTATGCAGTTTGGGCAGGCTTTGAGCTCACTTGGTTGCCCAGGCTGGTCTTGAACTCACAAAAATCCTCCTGCCTCAGCCTCGCAAGTGCTGAGATTACAGGAGTGAGTTACCACACTTGACAGGTACTCAGTTTTTAGAAAAGACTCTTAAAAGTAAATTTGTATATATTTTCAAAATTCTACAAAATGACAGATATCTATGACTACAACAGATAAAACAAGGGGTTGGGGATTTAGCTCAGCGGCATAAGCGCCTGCCTTGCAAGTGTGAGGTCGTGAGTTTGATCCCTGGTACTGATAAAAACTAAAAAGACAAAACAAACAAACAAACAAACAAAAAAACCAGATAAACAGTAAAAAGTGAAACATGGTAGAATTTAAAATATAAAACACTTTAGACTTTCTGTGACTTCCTCAGACATTTTCCCATGTGTTTCCAATTCAAATTCATAGTCACACTGCACCATAATGACTTCCCACCAGTTTCAAAGTCCAGGCACTTCATACACTGCTCATGGGCAATTTGTATCCAATTTGTTTATATTAGTCAAATTGTTAAACAGATTGTGATCACACAGCCCTGTCAAGTACTGTCCTAGAAGCCAGTTGCAGTGATTATCACAGATGTCACTTTCTAGTGCCAAGTGTCATGTTTTTTGTATATATGTTTGTTTTTTGAAATAGAATTATCATTTTATGAAGCCTGCTAAAATACATTTCCAAATTCTCTGAACAGATTGAAAATGGTTTATTGTATAACTATCCCTAACTCTTCTTCCTGGAATTTAAATAAGGCATTATTCACATACTGAGATCATAGCATAGAAGTTCTTGTCTCTTATTTACTCCACTTTTCTATCAGTGAACCCACATCTATAATTTAAGTAAAATATTTGCTTTTGAACATTTTTTCTCTGCATTTCCCTATTTTTCAAAAGAACAGTCTGATCTTTCTTTATATTACTGTTTTATCTCTTCACAGACAAAATGAGAAACTGTCCATAAATAATGGGACATTACTTACGATTAGAAATATAAAACCCAGAAAATTTGTCAAATGTGTCAGACAATACTGTAAACAACCACTCATTTCCTCTAATTATCTAGAGTTGCTACCCTAGAAAACCTTTGAAAGTATACCCAGGAAGCTGTTGGACTCTGGAATAAGTAAATTCTAAGTGCTTCCTGAAGGTGACAAATAAGGAAAATATGTACTGAGAGAAGAAAAGCCACACAGAGAATTTTACTAATATTTTTGTTCCTAACTTTAGAAAAATTATCTTTCCCTCAATTTTAGAGTAATTGAGATTTGATAACTTAAAACCACTCATACATTCATATTAAAGTAAGGTAAATTTTTTTATTGGTACCAGGGATCAAACTCACGACTGCCTGTTAGCAAGGCAGGTGCTTATGCTGCTGAGCTAAACCTCCAGCCCCCTAAAGTAATATAATTTTTACATAGCATTTGTTAACTTGAAAAGTCAAACCATTTAGGTCTCTAAAATTGCTATTTTTATGAAACATTAAAATATGAAAAGATATACATTTAAATTTAAATAATTATTCTTGAATTATTTTTATAAAATCATCTGTTCAACATTTTTATACAAACATGCTTTTAAAGGACTTCTGTCTAAAACATATAAAAAAATCAGACCCCTGAAATTCAAAGAACCAATCCAAAATGGACATTTGAGATGAATACATAGATCTCAGATGAAGAAATACAAATGGCAAATAAAAACATGAAAAAATGTTCATCATCACTGGTCATTAGGCAAATGCAAATTAAAACAACAATGAGATTCCAACTCACTCCAGAAAGAATGGCCAGGATCAAGAAAACTACCAACAACAAATGCCGGAGAGGCTGTGGGGAAAAAGGTACTCTCCTACACTATTGGAGTGTAGACTGGTGCAACCATTATGGAGATCAGTCTGGAGATTCCTCAAAAAGATGGGATTGGAAGTCCCATTTGTTTTTTAGGGGGATTCTCCACAGTGATTTCCACAGTGGTTGCACTCATCTACACTCCCTTGAATAGTGGAAAAGAGTTCCTTTTCCCCCACAGCTCTGCGAGTACTAGTTATACAAGAAATGCAAATTAAAACAGTAAGATTTTATCTCACTGCAGAAAGAATGACTATCATGAAGAAATCAACCAATAGCAAATTCTGATTGAGTTAAAATTTAGTTTTATCTCATTGTGACATTTTACCCTGGGTGATAGTTATAGTATCTCTTCCTCATTCACAAAAAGATAAATTTCCATGCCACTAGCTACAATAGCATTTCACTCCATACCTAATCACTCCC